GTTTATTAAGATATAAAATATAATTTAGTGTGTAATATTCATAAATTACCGTTAACATTTTTCTAAAAAAATAAAATATTGTGAGCATAAAAAATAACAACTTCATCGTGCCGTTAGTGTGCCAATTTTTGGAGAACATTTAATATAATCTTTAAAAAATACTCTGGTTCATATAATAATTATTTTTAAGGTTAGTATCAATACTTATACTTTATTATTAACTTTAAAATGGCAAGAAAAAAAAAAAAATACGCCTTTCCGTTTTTATAATACATACTTTAGATGAGTACGAAAAATATGTAGTTGGATAAATCACACGTGACGCAAGCTTAGATTTTAGTTTTTAGCTTAAACTTATATATTAAACTTCGCCGCTGTACAGTAGCCTTATACGCAGGTAGGTATAATTAAATTGCTACTAACGTGTTGCTTCAAAACGGTTGTTTCAACTGTCTATGCGAAATACTAGCAGTATCGTTATTTCCAGAATTTGTAAAAACATGCACTGTATGTTGTAGTCGATGCCCCCGGAAAGCCCGGGGAACGGGACCCGAAAGTAGCAGCGCCAGATCCACAGCTGGATGTACCAAAACCGCCGGCACGGAAGTTGTCGCGAAGCGCAATGTCGTTGAAGATAACGCCCGAAGTACCGTCCAGACCGGGGTTTCAGTTTTTCCCAGCAACTCCCGGTATACCTATGACTCCACTGTCGGACCCGACTATTCCTACCGGATTTTCACCGCAACTCTATCAGGCTTACACATCCAACAGGGCTACAGATTTTTTCTTCAAACAACTCGAAGGTGAGACGACAATGTGTATTATATTATTATCGTTATAAAAGACTCCTTTAAACTCAGGCTTTATACTTTAGACTACCTACCTCTCGCTATCCGTACATCCGTATAGCTTTTACTTTAGGCAGGGGTATAAGATGTCGAACCTGGTAATAAAGGTATTTAGGTGTCGAGTATATGATTTACACAACATTTCGTAAAGACGTTGTCTGTCCTCACCACATACATGCTATACTTACTTTTAAATGGGTATTGTCAAATCGTAAAAATATTTTAGTGTACCTGCGCGTTTGGATGTATTTTTAAATTGTACATAATATGAACAGTTAGTAGATATTTTTTTTTATATTAAGTATAGAATATATTATAATATGTGCCTAGATGTACTTCAACTATTGTGTAGATGATAATTATTATTAATATATTTTACTAAAATATTTTGAAAAAATGCATACATAAACCGTACGTTCACTGAAATATTAATAAAAAAAATTAACAGATATCTGTATCAATTTATTCATAGAATTTATTTTTTTATTTTTTATTTATAGAATTCTAAATATTCCCATAAATTCATTTTAGCGTTATCCTGTAATTTTCAAAAGTTATTCAAGTAAGTCGTGGGTTGACATCTCTTTTGATCGGCAGCTGGGGACGTCGTAGCCCGTTGTTAAAGATAACAATAATGAGTTTTTTTAGTGTTATGATTATAGTTTAGTATAATCCCTCCTTTTCTTGTTAAACTTTACGGCAGTTTTAAACGTCTCAATTGGGATTATATTTTCATGACTAATAATTTTATGTTATAAGTATATTATTATTAAAGTTATTAATATTATTACAATCCATAAGTATTCTTGCAGTTAATTTATTTATAACGTTGTTCTCTGATAGTACCACTAGTACTCGTACTAGGGCCACTAGTAAGAAATGAAGCAATATTTTACAACAATAGTATTATGGGATGTTTTAGTTATGTCAATATAGTAATAATTTTATAGGATATTTAGATAATAGTTTTTACTTAATGTATTAGTTCTTTAGATTTATTTTTCTACGAGCTTTAACGGTTTTAAGATAAAAATTAACTTGGATGGAAAAAATACTATGATATTCAATATTTTTTAGTTGTGTTTTTTTTTTTTTTAAGGATTTATAAGACGATTTTCAACATTCTCCAATTTTATTTTTTTTTTCAAATTTTCAACAAATAAAATGCAGTTAGAAATCGCTTTACAATATTCGATTTTAGGGGGCCAAAGTGTTCTATAGCAATACATCAACTTGACTGAGCACAAAGCTTATTATAAATAAACTTAAACTTGAAATCGTGAGAATTTGTCCATAAAAAAACGCTTTTATAGTCTAATTTTAAGGCGTACCCATGTTCTATACCCCGTAATAAAATAAATTAAAAGCAGTGAAATTTAATAATTTGACTTCAAATCTTTTATTATTCTTATAAACACGTTATTATGCATTTTTACCGAATCGTTAAACCTATTGCTCACTAAAAAAACTAACAAATATAGTTGTATTCTAATAAATTTGTTGTTATTATATTTTGTTAAGGATTTAAAGATATCGTGTCCACGGCTAAGTCGCGATTGAGTTTTGGCGAACGAGCTGTTTTCTGGTTATACGACAAGATTAGAGAATGGTCAAGAATGTGGCTTACCCATGTCTTTTTGCTCCTCATGGCCGCTGGTTATTGCTGTGTAGGTGCACTAATATTCCAAGCGGTCGAAGGAAAACCCAAAAACCCACAACCAAATGTATTACCCGATGAAAGGTTTAAGCTACTATTAAACATAGCAAACGTAAGTACTCGTCGTTTTATTTGACCATGATTAGAGCCAATACATTACTTTATGACGCATTAACATTAATTTAACATAAAGATATGACAGTCTTATTCTTTTTCGTGAAATCATACTCTTGTTAGTCTTAATCTGTATCTTATTTTATCGATTCTTCGTTACCGTCTAGGCAATATAGTGAATACCAAATGGAAATTCATTTAAATATTGATATTTGTGGAAGTTACAAAAATCCAAACTCAAAAAACAAAATTGAAAAACCAGTTAAATTAATTAACGATTTCCATAAAAACGGCTTGTTAGACGAACATTTTCAAAGATAGCTTTTTTGTAGGGAATTCAATTTCCTTCAGTATAATATTCAGTTTAATATGTATCAATAGAATTTTTCAGACCAATGATTTACGAGTTTTGGATACAAAATGCCATTCGTGTAAAAAAACCGTCAGTCGTCATGATAGGTATCTAAGAGGACGTCACACACCCGTTATTTTCTTAAAAAAACCTGCCTTGCGTGGATTAATTTTACAAAGGCTATAATCAAAACTAAGAAACCAAATTTTTACATATTATAGACAACAACATTGTCTGTATTCTACCATCGCCCTTTTTTAAATATTTCAACCACTTAATGAATAATTAATTAATTAAGAAAGGACTTTTTTGACTTTTTTAAAAATGATATAGCGTTGGTTGTATTAAGTATATCGAAAAAATACGGATGATGGAACACAGATAATTTTGTCATAAACAATTTGTATGAATTTCTTTCCTTAACTATATATGAAGCCTGAGAAAAATTAATCCGTCCAAAGCAGTTTTGATGACCAACAAATTGTATTTTATCCTATAGAAATGACTGTGATAGTCTGATAAAAAAAAAATGGCAATTAATAAAGTATCCTCATTACTGTATTAATAAGTATACATTATAGTTAAAACTTTAAATTAAGATTTTTTGAAAAATTGCCTATACTTTACTCCTTAGAAATGGCCGGTGTGGCGTCCTCTTAATATTAATATTAAGAGCTCTAACTTTCACCATAATTTTTTTTTATCATCATGAACAATATTTTCATAGTACCATTCGAAAAAAAAAATTGTTCGTTTTTTTTGGTCCAGTCTAATGTTTACAACTAAGTAGTGACAAATAAAAAACAAATTTATTAATTACTTGTTTTTTTACAAAAGTATTAATGATCATTTTATAAGCATACTATGAACTAAGTTTTATTTTAACTACCTGAAATTGCGTAGCCTATGCACATTATCTGAGTATTGTTATAGTCTAAAAAAGCACATTCCGTGGTTATCAGCAAATTATTTACTTTATACAATAGAATAATTTTAGAATTAATTTTCACATTAATGTAAAGCAGCAGTTTATATCAGGTTATTACAATACTGATGGTATAGTGCACAGAAGTCATAAATGCATGTCTTTTTGCAGGCTATATTTATATTCATGAATTTTTGCATTATCAGTTTGTGCTCTTTTGGGCTAAAACTTGGGTAAAGTGTACTCTTGCAGGCTGCTCTTTTTGGTGTAGCTCAAAGGAATATGAGAAGGGTAGTTAGTATTTATTTATACAAACATAAATTGACCGACCTCGTGTAGTTGGAAGTGTAAGGCGAATATGAAGATATCTGTGTATACATTAAATACAAAAAAGTACTACAAAAAAGAAATTCTGTACAATTTAGTAAATAAAAATGGCATGTTGAGTTTTTTATAATTGATTACAGCTGATGGGCGGATTGAACCAAAGCCAAACGAGTACAATAACCGACGCCTCGAATTATATCAAAAAATACGAAGCATTTATCCACGAATACGCCAAACAAAAACCAGAATGGAACTACTTAAATGCTGTTTATTATTGTGGGACTGTATTTACGACTATAGGTATGTTGTAATTTAATTTTAGCAACGTTATGAGTCAAATACATACTTATAGAGTATACAACTGTATTTGTTTCCATTTTTTAATCAATAGGGATGGTTTTTTTTTCAAGTATTTATTTCAATGACACGAAAACGTACAATTTTTTTAGACGGTTAGGATGTGCAATTGTCTATTATATACAATCAGTACCATATATTCTTGTACCCAATACGTTTGGAACATGCGAAGTTATTAATTTTGCGCTGGCTTTTCTAGCTCCCAGGTGCCAGGTGGGATATTGTCCGATTGTTGGGCAAATCTCATTATGTCGACCGAGTTCCGCTTCGTGTGCGTGTCAACCGCCAGTTCTTATAAGGCATTCGTATTACACAATACCGTGTTTACCACTGCGCAACGATAATTATAAGTAATAATAAAAATAATGTTATCGGTGCGTGTTATCGTGACAATAAAGCCGCAAAGTTGTCGTATGCGTGCTATCCATAATATAGTGTGTCCATAACTGTCCACGGCTAGTGTGACAATGCAGTTTTGTTAATGTGTTACCAGCGTGTTGTGTGTTGACCGAGTTAATCATGTTAGCGTGCACAGTTCCGTCATTACCCTAAATGCACGTGGGACACGAGCCTAGGGCCCCCGGCCTGGGGGGGGGGCGAATAATATAATTTACATCTGTAAGTTTATTTTTTTTGGTTTTCTTAAAGGGCCCCCAAACTCTGTGTGCCCATACATTGCCTAAGACGGCCCTGTGCGTGCACCGCAGCGCTTTGGACCCGGAAAAAACAAAAACGAATTAACGCGGTTTCGGATAAATAACGCACTTTATTGTCGTAAAAACTGAAAATATTCGGCGCCTTTCGTGTAGGTATTGCCGGTGGTCGGGGAAACGGCCACTTGCACGGCGTGCAGACAGCAGTTAAATTTAACTCTCGTCTATTTATAATATTGTATGGCCCAAAAGTTTGTGTATGCCGCCTCCGCCGCCGTACATATTGTGTGTAATACGTACCCGACGGGCCAAGACGACGTTCGCGAGTTTTGTACACAGTAATCGTATCGATTTGTCGATAAGCAACAAAAAAAAAACACCAAAAATGAATAAAACAAAAAACAGTGACGGCGAGAGTTGCTGCACGGATTACGAGACGGACGGCTTTTGGAGTTCAGAAAAAACGCTTTTGCAATCGGTGCGTGGAGACGACGGCGTGCGGAAGAGGAAAAAGAAAAAGAAAAAACCGGCGGCCAAGGAACGATGCGGAAGCGACCGGGATCCGGTTGGCGCGGGACTGGCGGGACAATGGCGTTTGTTCCGGAAAGAGCACGACAAGGAGTGGCGCTCGTTCTGGAGGATGGCCCGAAAGTGCTTCGTGGACACGGTTAGAAGTCGAGGTTTAAGATGTATTATTACTATTATTATATTATTATTACTGTGACTATGATGATATCATTAACCTTGACTATGATAAGTGATTGAGCGGATCGCGTGCCCATCCGAAACTGAGCCCGAGGGACCGCTCGGCGCCATGTCAACCGTTTGCCATCTGTATATGCTTGCTAGGTGGTTCTGGTGCTCATGTGCGGCGTGGGCGGTCTGGTATTCCGTTACACCGAAGGCGCTTTTGAGACGTTCTACAAGTGCGGTGTGAAACGGGTGAAACGCGACTTCCTCAATGGCTTGTGGACAGACAGCCGGAGGATGGGCGAGGATCAGTGGAAGCAGATTGCCAGGAGAAAACTGGTCGAGTTCGAGGAACAACTCCACGACGCGTTCGAAGCCGGCACCACTACGTACAGCGGCCGGAGTTCGTGGAGTTTTGTCAACTCGGCCATATATTCCTTCACGGTTGTCACCACCATAGGTAATTTGTTCAGTCTGGTCGAAAAAATAATCAGAGCCCTTTAGCCAGATACCTGCGCTAGATGTATAGCTATGTACCTACATGTATACTTCAATATTATCGTATAATTACTACCAACTCGGTTTATGATTTTTTACGGTCCAGCGAAACCAGAAACATGTTATTTTTGTAATACATACCACAACTGACAAAAATAAATTTACATTTTTATTTAAATACAAAAATTACAATGTATAATGTAGGTGATATGCATAAGAATAAAATGTAAAATGTAAATAATGTTATTATTCATATGTATATCGGTTGTTGTTAAATCTTAACTAAGAGAGTATTTTGGTAATATTATATCACCAGTAAAATGTCAACAATAATCCAGATCATACTAAACGGTACACAAAACAAATTCCCCAGTTTAAATGAAACGTGACATACATTTTTTTTTAAATATTATATAATTTTTGAGCTTCAAGCTCTAATATTTCAAAAATAAATACAAGTACAAATTGTTGAAAATTTTAACAATTTTTTTTCTGGTAATTGTTGTGTATAATAATTTGCTCTAGAGTTACAATTCGTTATATTAAACAAAATAATGATATTATTGGAATTTATGATTCTACTTGAAAGCCCTTGCGGTACAGGTTAAATTAAAAAAATAGCCAGACATTTTTTTTAAATAGTTTTTTAAGTAGTTAAACCAATTTTACTGGAGATGGGGGGGGGGGGGTAATTATTAAGAAGTATATTTTTGATGTATACCAGAAGATCACTTCAATAGAGTATACAAAACAATATTTGTGATGATTTTCCTCCTTGTATTAGCACCGAAGCCCGTTCAGGCAGTCGTAATGAGTGTTCACCAGCAATATTTCAAGACGGCAAAGTATTTGAAATATTTCAAGACTATAATAATAATAATATGAGTGTTTATTCCGTCATGTACCGTCGTACGTGTTAAAAATATGTGATAATCTATAGAACTAGTTTGCATAAATTTTAATAACGTAACGATTTGACGAAATACCTAACAATATTTTTGTTTTAGGATACGGCCACATAGTCCCGTCGACCAACACCGGTCGACTGATAACCATAGTGTACGCGATATTTGGCATACCAATATTTTTGATTTTGCTGGCCGATTTCGGTAAAATGTTTACTAGAGGAATAAAGTTCCTTTGGGCTTTCGTCCGGCGTCTATATTACACCGGCAGCTGTCGAAAAGTTCGCAGAACGGCACCCGTCCAAGTATGTAAAAACCATAGTCTTTTTCGGAAAACCCGTAAATAATGAAATTGAGATGTCAACCTTTTTTTTTCTTACTATAACTGATACCATTGCGGCGCTCTTTATTAAATCAGTGTATTTACATAACAATATTTTCAATATACGACAAAATTGTAAACCTATTTCACTAGTAACATCCGTAATAAGATAGTGTTATTACAGCTTACGTTCGACCTAACATTATGTACACTGCTGTAGCTTGTCAATATTAGGTCCGGTCGGGTTTAATATCGATTCAAAGGGTCGCGGACAATATTGTGTTACAATATCACGTTCACTTCCTATAGTCCCCGTTGTCCCTGTTGGCTAATAAATTAATTTTACTTGGAAATACTAATCGACATTTCTGGCAACCATAACAATATTAAATCTTTCAATTTATTGTTATCTTTATTTCGAAATTTTAGTACTTGTTGTCAACTGTTATAAATATAATTGTTGTAACCTAATACTGTTAAAATAGTGCACAAATTTTACGGTGTTAAGCTTTTACTTTTAAATTTCTACAAAATAAAAATACCATCTTATTCAGTCCAGTTATTTACCACATTCTATGTATATACGGGATATTACTTTATAATAATAGAGCTAGGATATTGGATTTCATAATCCCTCGACCTACGCCACTACTAAATCGGCTAAAGCAACACCTTTAATACGATTTCGTCGCTTTAGTCACAGTCTAATTATTGTTTTAATGACATAAATACAATAGTATTTGAATTTGTTTTCGATTAAAATAATCGAACGAATTTCATTCGATAGCTATTGGTTATATCTTTTGAGCAGCTTTTTAACAAAAATATTAATCTTGATTCTTTTATAGGAGGTTATGAAAGGTGTACAAATGGTGTATGACATAACGAAATTCCGTCGACCGAGTGCGGTGTTTGACGGTATACCGGACAGCCAGTCAGGATATCCCCCGACGTCGCCCAGTACACCAGCCCTGAGCACTTATGCCATTGACGACGAGTTCAACTTGCCGATTTCGGTGGCGTTTGTCATTTTATTGATTTACATTGTTTTCGGCGCTATGGTTTTCTGGTTTGAAGAGGGTTGGGGATTTTTCCAGGCATTCTACTTTGTCTTTATATCGATGTCCACCATTGGATTCGGCGATTTCGTCCCTAAGGTATGCATGCTTTTCGATTTTCAGACGGTTTAATTATTACACGTTGTTAAAATAGTCTGCGGATAAAATCGAACCGTCAACTATCTTTTTTGTCATTTTCCAGAATCAACTTGTCATGATCATATCCATCGTGTACTTAGTTTTCGGGCTAGCGTTGACATCTATGTGCATAAACGTCGTTCAGGTAAGGAAAACAACTTTATTTCGCTTTTTGCGTGCACTTATAGGTCGTCTACCGACGTGACGGTTGCAGCGCGTTATTATATTTACTTTATTACATAAGTTCGTTTGGCTGATATGTTTTTGGGTTTTAACTTGATAGCAGCTGACACTAAGATGTTACTTTTACTTTCGTTTCGCGTTAAAGTAAACAGCGCTCACGAAAACTTCGTCATCCGTAACCGTCCGTTAAAAAAAAAACATCAGAAAAACGTACAAACCAATTGGCTATATAAGTTTACTTAAGCTGTGAAGTATTTGAATAATTTAAATTTAAACGAATGTAAGTATCAAAATATAACATCTGTAACATAATAATGATCCGAACATTATATTTTGTATAATGTTTTATATATCAATACTATTTTGATTTTAATGGTACAGTCTTCTGTTCGGTCCGGTAGGTATCAGTGTTCGTAAGTTATAACCGAGTTAAATATTTATAGCAGGGACGAATCCGGTTCGCACAAAATCAAATTTATCAGCAGAGAACACGCGCTAAACAATATGTGCTCTAGTTACCGGATTTTCCTGGTTTTGGATTATTAATCACGCAATATAACGTATATATTTCATGTATAATATGCGTTGCAAGATGAATTAGGTTTTTGTATACAAGTGTGTGTGTGTGTGTGTGTTTGTGGGTAGGTACGTGCGCGAACGTGCATTGCATTATTAATCATACAGGACTCCCAAAATGAACGATTCGTCCTAACTGCGGTGTAATATTATAAAATGCGCAAGACAAAGTCAATTTTCAGTATTGTGTTATTTACGGCCGTGGTGTATTTACAGGAAAAATTGCAAAATTCGTTCAGACAAGCAACGGCCAAGATCAGCGCAACAATTGGACTAGGAATGCCTATGGACGAGAAAGCGGTTACCGACGAAGAAATCACTAGTTACGTAGACGACGAAACCAAAAACGATTCTAATAAATAAATACAATACATAACATATTATTATATTCCAGCTAAATAAACATGCAATGTAAGTCGTCGATTTGGAATATTCAAAAGTTGTTCGTACTCGTATATATATATTATTTAATTATTATTACTCGCATCGTACTGTTACCATTGTATTTTCTGAGTCTAGTCCTAAAGAAGTAATATTTATTTACGATAGAAACTTGAAATAATATTACAACTAAGAGTGAATACTACCACAAAAGTTGCTTTTGATTTAGGTAAAACCACAATTAACATTGTTTTGTAACCATAATTTAACTCCACATGTTTTAATGCGATGTTGTTTGTGGAGATTTAAATTTTAGTACACTCATTTTTATTTTTTGAAATACATATACCTCTATGCAATTTAAACCGGCACAACATAAATACCCATAGCAGCACAGAAAGCTATATTGTAAGAAGTTAACAAAGTGAGATTAAAGTAGCTGTATATATATATATATATATATATATATACTCAATGGTAGCTATTAGTAGCTATTAATTTGAAAGTGGTACAAGTGGCAATCAGACACTTCGGTTCGAATTCCGTGAAAGGATGCAACACAGTAGGAACTCTACTATACAGTACAGGCAATCACCTCAGATTAGCATAATATAATGACTGTGCATTATCGCACTTCCTAACTTAATGTACTGTGGTCTGTGTTCTTAGCTTTTGATATAAATGGTATCTAATCTATTATTTGTTTGACGATTTTTGCTTCGTTTTAGTAGTTATGCATTGTATTATCAGTGTATAATTTTATTAAAGTAATATTTTATGTTGTAGCTAAACTACCCGCTATACTTACTACTAAAATTTTAGTTCGTCGTTATTATTTTGTTTACAACAGTTTCAGTTTTACAAAGTAGGTCCCACGGGTTTCCAAGAAACAATATTTGTTACAATACTTTAAATAGTAGATACTATATAGTATTACATTTTAGGCTTGATTTGCAATCTTTTGTTAATCAATTTAAAATTAGATAGGTATGTAGCACTGTAGCATGTTTTGTTCATAAATTATTATTTCTGTACTAGACGATCATTTTATTCCTAATATGTTATACCTCTGAGCTCTTTTCTATTGCCGTCTTTTTCTTTTTGTTATCTACATGGCATTCAATAAGCCATTCAATTTTTTTGGTTTTATATTTATTAATTTGTTATTCCAATTTCAAATAATATTATATGTTGTAACATATTATTATTAAATGTTAAAACATTTTCAGTTCCGCATCAAAGCTTAAATAAAAATCCTAATTTTATTAGATTCATTTGGAATTATATTTACATGAATGCAATTTTAGTGACAATACACACATATTTAGTTAGTATATTAAGTTATATTTAATTTTATCACAAACTTTATTAACTTAATTAATTTTAGCTTAAAATTTTTTTTTTTAAATACATTTTGGAGTATTACGCTCTGGCATTTGATTTTTGATTGTAATACTTAATTGACCAAATACCTATAGTTATGAATTTTTTATTAGTTATTAATTCTAGATTCTTCTCTTATAAAAAGAATATTTGATCTAAATTTTCAGCATTAAAACAATAAAATATGATAGAAGTCTAAAGACAACATAACAAATGTTGGTAGGTATACATTTCTATTTAGGCCACATTAAAACACCATTACACATTGGGTCAACTATAACTATTATAATATGTACTTGGTTAAAGTTTTACTGAAGTATAATTTTTATGTACCTTCACGTTTTAGTGCTCCCGCGTACCTACATTAGCACATATAGAACCACACATTTTTACATTTAACGTAAAACACTTATATATTTGGGAAATATTATTTTAAGTTAATTATTATTATTTTTAATTGATTTCGTAATATCGCTTGTTCACCTCCTTCTAGAGGCTAGAGCACATAAGTAGTATGAGTATAATTTATAAAAAAAAAAAATAATACAAACGGTACACCGTACAGAGTTAACCATATTATTTCCCCCCTACAACATTTATTAGACGTTCATTATTTTTATCCATCTTCGTAACGTCATCGATTTCGGTCAATCTCTTTGACGGCAGGTGCATAATGAATCAGTATTTATTGGTTAAATAGTCGTTTCAACCGGATGCCTATTAGTCGCTATGCAAAGACAGCTTGAGAAGTATAACCTGCAGCCCAATAACAATATGCTACCATTCGGCATTGTCTTAACGATTACATCAATTATGGTAATCGCGTCGTCCGTCGAATCCTTCGTCTTCGACTCTTGCGAACGTACTAATTTGACAAAACAAGAATGTGTGGGAAAAGTAATAATGGACACGCTCAGCAAGGCCAATGAAGATCCAGCCAACTTTTTTAAGTTCAACGTAAGTGCTAATTTAAATACCGTCACTGCGAACCAATACAAGTGTATTATATAAAAATGTATGGTCTACAGTCCTGTCAGCTCACCCTACTTCATTTATACTTCTTTATACCTACAACACTGACTTACCTACACCATTTTACAGGAAAGCTAAATTGCTATAATGTTTTCATTGCATTTTTATAGTAATGGTATTATAGTATATCCTCAATACAACAACCCAATAAAAATTGCACCTATTGTAAATATATTTTACTACTACATTCTCAAATTATACAATGTAAGTTTGAGTAAAAGCCGTATAGTTAGCGTAAAAGTTAATAATTAATTACAATTGAAATTAACATGTATTATTGTATTTGCAACTCTTTTCTTTTTTCATTTTTTATTGTAGAATACATATCAGCGGTAGCAGATGAACGATTTAATTAGGTATTCTAGTCAAGACCATATGATCATTAAAGTAGGTGCCTATTAAAATAATAAAGGAAGCATTTTTTGACTGATTAAACAATAGCCAAGTTATTATTTAACTGTTATGCGCTAAGAAAAAACTTTAGTCGTCGATGGACCCCTTTTCTCTTTCTGAAGTTTTTAGAGTCTGTGAGAACCGATAACAATCTAAATTGTTAATTGGATAATATTTTTAAAAAATGATTTCGTTTTAATAGACACATTAAATTAATCTATATTCTGATATAACTTTCATAACTTATCTTTCAAAACTATTCTAATTAATGTAATTATATAGTTTTTACTTAGGTAAACATTTGAATTTTTTTTTTTAGATATATAAGTAATCAAATTACCGGCAGTGCGAAATTAATATAATGGTCCAAAAATCTTACTATCTCTTCAAAGAAACGAGTTTTTAAAATTATATCATTATCATTCTAACATTAGATTCACATTTACCAGTTATAACTTCTATAGTCTATATAATAAAAAGTATACGTTTTTCTATTACATTTTGAAAGGTTTGAATCTTTATTTTTTTAGTATGTTATGTAAGATACAGTAACACCTACCTTAACGCTAAAATTTAAATATTTTTAACCCTTCTAAAATAGTGCCTGAAATAGTTCAAATAACGAAAACTTTTTTTTGCCCTTTGCGGTGGAGGGTGCTAAATTTTGGATTTCAAGCTATTTTATCATAGATATAACCATGTATATTGTCTGATAATATGTAACAAATGTGTGTGTGTTACAATTATAATATTCAATTTGGAACTTAAAAACTTAGTTTTTTAAATCGGCATTCCCTGTTAAGACCAATTTGGTCATAGGGGTTGTGCTAAACCATTCCAACTAAAAATAGATATAATAATTTGTTAACAGTTTAATGAAATTTTGTCTTTAAATAGTTATTAGTAGATAAAAAAAATACTTGCTGACTTATAGTTATAGAAGAATTAGTAACCTTGAATTCGATTTGTATAGAAAACAGTTTTTTTTAGAAGATAGTTGATGGCTGATGGCTCAGTAGTTTTTGAATAAAAACATAAAATAAACGCTTTCTCTATTTACTATAGCATAGCTAAATGACCTAAAGTAGTATAACTTAAATAACTTTAACCTAGGTGTCCTATATAAGCGAAAAGGAGACCTCTTGCCGGCAAAGTTAATTTCGAGAAAAACATTTGCAAACTTCAAAGTACAATAATTTTGTAATTTTTTTAGTTTTGTATCAGGTCCCAAATTATTCAAAAACCAATCAAGTTTCAGAAAATAGTACTCAGAGAGAGAAACAACTTTTATTTAATTAAAATACAAAGTGAGCTGCCCACTATGTGGGTTGCCAAATGACAGCATACTACTCAATAAACAAATACATAGGGCAATTTCAATTTCACAATACAAATAAACACTATTAAATTTATAGTACAAATACATAAATGACAAATTTAACAATACAATGAAATATTTAGTAAATGTAGACACAATGTGTCTTTTCGCATCACAAATATGTAGAAGCCAAATAATATATATTTTCCTCTAATTTACATGGGTGGTTTGATGACTATGGACAGGGGGAAATATTAACCCAAAAATAAAGAATTCAATATTGTCAGGACACTTTACGAAAAATAACACAGTGATGTATATAGGATAATAATATTATAATATATATATATATATATTAGCTATCATTTATTAAACAGTTTAAACTTTTAGAGGTAGGTAATCAGTGGCCAAAATATAGGAACTAATCGAGTTAAGTCAAATTTGAACAATATATAGTAATTATTCGTTCTTAAATCTTACGTGTAAACTGGAAATCTAACTTTAAAGGATAAACTGCACTTCGATCCTGTCAAATTGCATTATATTATCAAAGTATAGTCATTTACTGTACACCAATACGTTTTAATTGTAAGTCCTACAGGTATTTTTTCCCCCTTTTCCATTCGTTTCTTCCACTGCTTAAAGTACATAGTCTGTAATGGGATAATTAAACTGCCATTATTTTAGGAATTAGACAACGGTAGCGGCATATTACGATTGATCAAACTGAAATTCGACGACAATTCCACCAGTGGAGTGCGTAGGTTTCAATTAAAAGAAGAAGAAACAAGGTCGTCAAAAAATGGAGATTTCTGGGACTTGTTTATGTCTGTCATAGAGAAACTGACACATTACAGTAGTGACCACGGTGTGTTGGTGTCTCTGCCACAGTGGTCGAGAGAATTTCCTCCCGTTGCAGTAGTGAATGAGGATGACATCTTTCAAGTAGTTAACGAGAGTAAGTAACAATAAAGACGTTGTCATAAAATTTAATAGGTAGTCAACTCAATGGATAATTGACAGAAATTGAATTATATAATAATAATATAAATTTTAATTTAATGATACCTACTTATTGGCTGTACACAACAACTAACAGCGTACTTGAACCAACAAATAAGCATTCAAAATTCGTTTAACTTTTACTCCACACAAAATTATAAATTACAAATTTACATCTTGTCTTTACCTATATATATATATACTATATAAAATACTTAAAATATTTCTGTTTGTTCGTCCATGTCAGCGTTAGTCATTTTTTTGGTATTTTTGTTTTTACAGTGGTTTACCAAATTACAGGTCGGGGTAAGCACAAGAAATTTGCACTGCTATTTCCACTGCTGGCTACGTTCAAATTTTTGGTGATCAAGGCTCTTCTAGTGCCCATACTAATCACTGTCATGATAATCAAGAAAATGTTAGTACTCGGCGTCATGGCTCTACCCACCTTATTGACCATGTTGCGGTTCTGTCGGAATCCCAATTTCGGCGGATTCGGCTTGGGCAACTTGATGGCAACCGGTGCAGTGGGACCCGTAGGTCAGACAGCAGCATTTGCTCCTCTCGCGGCTGCCGACATGTCTGGCGACTATTCCAACTACGTTCAACAGGCGACTGCCGCATCTCATCATCCAAATGGCTTTAAAGATTATTCCAAGAATCTGTTGGACGCCATGAAGGGTACTTACTAGGGTACATTGAACTTACTAGGGCAAGGGTACTTACTAGGGTCTTTTGAATCTAGGCAAAGCTGTATAGCTACTATAAAGTACAGTGATTAATGCACGTCTTATAGGTAGGCGCTCACAATGTATTTTTGGAAATACATTTTTTTTTTCGGGAAATAAAAATAACTCCTACGCTATAATTTTAGCACTTAACAATTATTTTATTGCCACACCGTTAAATAATCATACTTACGACAAAAATGTGTATGATAACACCTATATTATAGTTTATACTTATAGTAATTAATGTGCAATTAAATAATATATACCCACCTATACAATCTTAGATAGCGGTTATGGCTATGTAAGCTATGGTATCTTACGATTCACTCTTTTCATCCAAAAGTCGTGTTATATTTTTCATTGCACCTAATTATAAAAACACATCAATATTTTCAACACACTACCTATGTAATTTATATTTTATTTTATATAATTATTATTCATGATGACATTTCAGTATAATCAATCATAACATACTATAATTTATATATTATGGTTCAAATATTTGTTATACTTGGCTTTTGAGACTAATACAAGTAATTCACTTCCTATGTTTTTTATTAACAACAAATTATTCAAACATCAAGACAACCATTTTCTCATATATTTCTAACCAATAGGAAAATAAATATTTTCATATAAAAATAGATAAATAAAAAACCAACTACAAAAAAATAAAAATAGTATTTTATCATTTTCGGATCTATTTATGTTGTCATTAGTTACACAGATCACTTACGAGTATACTGCAGTATAGCTGCGACAACGGAACGGTGACTATTTCTCTGAAGATGGTTTAAGCAATGGGTTCGAAACGTCAGCCAACTAATGATAATAATACTTATGGATGGATCCAAAAATTATCAAACCAGTAAAATCCATAAAATGTTAACAACATTCGTGAAAGTAAAATTTTTGGTTTTTCAGAATACCTACATTATACCTGAAAAATTACAAAATATGTTTCATTTGTGATTACATTATATATTTTATAAAAAAATACAAATTTAATCAGGACAAAAAAAAATATAACGTAATAACACCTAGAGAATCTGTAAATATTTAGTAAACCCATTAAAACCAAAGAGCGTAAATGCCCAATTACTATTGAACTATAACATTTGTAATTATTCTACTCATTGCACTTTCTCTACTAAGAAAAAAGTAAACACTAAATAACAGAAGAGACGTTAAAAGTTAACGTAAAGTATCCAATAGTTTTAACTAAATTAAACATACTATCAAATAATTTATTACAATTGTATGCATGTTTCCTCTACAAATATAATACGTTTGTTTTATTTAATTTGTTTTTTATAATTTTTAAGTCCTACTCAAAATTCAAAAACGGTTTCTAAAAATACAGCAAATGATACTTATTTGGTTTTTTAACGTATATTGGAACTTAGAAATGCCACAATTAAAAACACATCTCAAATAAAATTTAAAGCATTTTAAATGGTTAATTTTAAATAGATTTTGAAGGAAGGTTTAATTTTTTTTTCTTGTGTACGATTTCTATGTATTAATTAGACACTAATGTTGTTAAAAATGTATCATAAGTCCAGACTTCTCCCCCCCCCCAAAAAAAAAAAAGAAAACAAATTTACTTAAAACCTAGTTTCTCAGTTCAGCATCAAAGCAATTAAAAATTGAACACATTTAAAAACAAATTAGCAACAAATATTTTACTTTATTTCATTTTCAGCACAATGAAAGTATACTGATAGTAATTTTAAACAAAATTTCAAAACACATAACAAGATAGGTTATCACTTTGAATAATAACTTATGTATAAAGAATCACTTACAGTTTATTATTTTGAAACCGCATTGATTAAATGAGTCAACATTTAAAAGAATACACAATCGTTTGAACAGTTAATGCTTCAACAAAATATTTTATCCAAATACATTTTGGATATTATAGAAATGTGATCTTACTAACTTATTTCATACGATTGTGCTATTATTGTCCTTATGGGAATATTTATAGTTATACAAAATATATACTACGATAAAGATAGTAGTTGTTTACAGTAAATTAACATGCATATTACAAAAGTATTTTGTAAAATAATTTTTAATGCGTGAAAACTGTTTATGTTCATTAATTATTATGACATAGGTAGAAGAAATTAAATCTATTCATTTAAAAAATACTTGTGTTACATATACAATTATAAAAATAAGCTGTAACTGCTTGGTAATATCATGCAGTATCGTGATGCACTTACAAATTTATAATGAATGAGTATAAATACTATATAGATTATAATCAATGGTATTATTTAATGAAATTATTGAATTATTTCAACTCGATTTCTTCATACATAGATATTAGATCATTGTTCACACTTTTTTTTTTAAATCATTTTAACAAGTTACACATTTTTATGTTTTCAATTTTATAAAACTAATTAAATTTTATACAAAAATAAAATTATTTCAAATTTATTTAAAACGTTAACATAATGATATTACTTTCCTCCAAAGTGAACATCGTTATAATAACAAAACACATTATATAACAAAAAAAAAAGTTATAATAAAATAGTAATAATAATAAATGAAACATATCACAGACAAAAAGACAATTTAACATGTTTTTAACTCTAACTCAATATTAAAAATTAAAAAATTATATACCCGGTATGTAATAGTTCTTAATATAGTTTTGGGCTAATTTTTTAAAATTTATTTTGTTTTTTTTTTTTGTTATTATAATAATTTTATTAGAGTAAAGTAAAACGCAAGACACTAATAACATTAAACTTATGAAATACCTATACAATAATTTTATCATAAGCCATATGGCCGTTACGGTTTAGAAATAGGTATGAGCAATTATTATTACAGTCAAATGAAGAATCTTGAAATATAAAGGTTTGTGTGGTTAACGTAATAAAAGACTAGACCAAGTTTGTCTCATAAATCAAAACTAACAAAATTATTATAAATAAAATACACAAACATGTGTTAGTAAAGAGATATGACCAAAAATGCATAAGCAAAATGGATTTGTGAACAAAATGTCTTATACTGTGTTTCTATATCAAACTGATTAATGAATTATGTTTTATAATTAAATACAATTTATAATTTGTATTTACATTATAAAACATTTATTATAGTTTAAAATGTAAAACAATATATTACACACAAATGTTTTGGTTATTGTACTTGATATGAATACATAATTTACAATCATTATTTAGTTGTATTCATAGTACCTAGTGAAACATATATCAGATTAAATTTTAAGAATAAATTATGTCAAAATGAAAATATAAGCATTTAGAAGTTACATAATTCAAATTTGATGTAAATTAGTTTTTATACAGAAGTACAAAATTGTATACACTAAGTGTCAATTACTTTTCTAGATGTATCGCCAAACAAATATATTGTACATACAAATAAAATGTTAACATTACACACAGACATAAATATACATACAATATATTCTTTGGTTTTGATCATATTAAATTATACATATTTCTATAGGGATAACGTGAGCTAAACGGATAAGGTGGTAGGTACAATATTGTTCATGTAATTCGGGTATAAATAATATTTGGATTAAATCAAAACAAAAGTATGTAACATTAATCATATATAATATATTATCTGTCTGAAGTTACGGATAAAACAAATATGAGAGCTAACCATCTACTATTATATTTGAAACTCTTCAAACAAGAATAACGATAAGTATCGAAACAACTCTCTTTAAAAGACTGTTCACGTCTACATCGATGCTCATTTAATTTTCAATACAGGATTTATACAGCTTGATCCGTTGTGGACTTTACTCGGACTCGGAGTTTCAATATTTATGTTTATAAAATAATTTAATACTGAATACCCGGAACAAAAAAACTTGATCTTAGGACACACAACAAAAGGTTGTAATTTATAACAAAATTACAAAACAAAAAAAATTATAATAAAATTAAAATAAAAAAAACAATATGTATATTTATAAAAAAACTAACATCCGTCCATTACTCAGCTACTAGCTAGGTAACTTTATGATCACTAACCTAAAACGGTTGACCTGTAGACCCTTCGTCCCTAACACTATAGTGATTGTACAAACGTGGTCTCGTCGCTACAGGTAAATCACACCTCACACTGGTCTTAGTCATTATTATTTCATTACCCACTGTAGGTGCCGAAGGAGGAGGTGGTGGCGGGGTAGATCGATCATCAGTAATCTTCGATTTTTTTATTAAAACGAACTTGAAAAACTCGTAAGTCGTCCACGAGATGGCAGTTGATGGCATTTGATAAATAATACGAGCGGCCATACCTCTAAAAAATCCTTGAACGCCACCAAGTGTATAGACTGTGGCTACGGCCCGGAAAAGACCTTTTACTTTGACCTGCAAAATATAATTTATTGTTTAAAAATACAACATCGTTACCTTATAGTAGAAGAATGAAAAAAAGTATTATAGTACAAGATATCTGTTAAAAAATATGTATTACAATTATTATTCACACGCGTAATACAATATGGTAATAAAGCGATTACGTAACATGACATTTTTCAAAATACTTAGGTAAGTATAATATAATAACAGCACAATATAATGTATCCGAGAGGTCGGTTGGGTTAAGGAGGAAAAATGTGCAGTTTGTGTGAATACGAATACGTTTTCGTCATTGTACTTGAGCATAATAAATTCAATAAATAAATTCAGCGTGCCGTGCCAAAGTTCAACGAAATTGTAGAAGTCAGTTATACTGTATACACGAAATGTGACTAAAAGAAAAAACATAATTTTATAGGTTTTTTGAGGACAAGTACAATTTTCGACCAGATATAGAGCGTGTTCTAGAAATCTTGTGATATCCCAAGTAATTGAAAATTAATTTAACAACGAAAACAAATTGTTGATGAAATTTCTAGCCAAATGACAATCCGAAGAGAGAATGAAAAATACTCGTGTTTGAATTATTATTCGAATTTCTAGAGTGCCGTCAGACTTTTGGAACGTACTATATACAAATTTATAAGGATAATACCGGATCCCGTTAAAATTCTAAAGCTAATGAATTAAAAGTTATCAAAAATACGTTATATCATTATTTATGTTTTAATTGGTGATATTTGCAACAATTTACCGTAAATAAAATATTCTAGTAAGTTCGGGATAGTAAAAAAATAGACAATGGTTCATTTCCTATTTATATTTTATACATTATTTAAATTATTTGTTTTAACAATAGCCATAATGCCGTGGTAAAACGTATATAATGAACTGATTATAACACACGCCATCCAAAGCATAAACTCGAGTTGTAAATATAATAAGGTGTTTGTAACGTAGCGTATAATTCAAGGTGAAAATTATGATTAGTCCTAAAATTTAGACAGTAGCGCAAATACAAGGGGCAAGCTCAGGCCACCCCCAAAAATCAGCAATACAATTTAACATTAGTATAGTAAATTCAGTTATTGAAATAAAACTCCCGAAAAATGTTGGGTATTTGACTGATTATGACTTCAGTTTTTTAAGTATATTATATACGAAAATAGTTTGAATGTACCTATATATTTACATAGTTCATGAAATTTAATGGAACATTAGCTTTTTCGGTCGCACCTACAATAATTAAATAAGAAAATTCTAGGAAGCCATGACACAGCAGTGAGCAGGTTGGCGGAATTCTTAAGGCTCGGATAGCAAGTGACTCATCCAATAATAAATATCTATAAATATTGTGCCGTAACTCAACAACATTGTAAACTAGAGCAAGCGGCTACTGACCACCACTACAATTAGCAGCAGTCTCGTCAGTCATATTTTTAAAGGTTAAATAATTCCCAAGCGGTGAAGGTACCGACAGTATAACTTATAATTATTAGTATTCACTATTCACGTTCCGTTAAAGCCACGATAATGATATTTATAAAAAAGTAATTTCGTCACTAGGTAATCATTAATTATTAAGTTCAGATACACACAATTATTTTTTTTTCATTGTCAACAGGGAACAGCACGCATTATAGCGAAAAATTATTATTAAATACGTTCCTTTTATATATTTAAGCTCTGACGTTTTATGATAGGACATTATAAAACAATTATTGTTTTCAGCTGAACTATGTTTCACGTGTCTTTCGTGGTCGATCGGAAAAGCATAACTAATTTGCATAAAATGAGGTTTTATTCGCAAAAAAATTTATAGAATTTGTCTATGCAATACAATAACATGGATTAAAAGTTACAACACAAATAATATATTATACCTACTAATTATACGATTTTAGAAATGTATATGCTATCATCGATTTAAAATTTAATGATGCTGACAATGTATTTAAATCGGCATTGTTTATTCAACTGTTAGTTGAAATATAGATAAAAACCGATAGGTAAAATAAAAACAACACATTTAGTAAAAAATATTACATTTTATATTAAATACGAAATCGGATACATATTTTATAGAAAACAGACCTACACATTAGATCATTTTTTTTAGTTCGCTTTAGAGGTAAATTAAAACAAATTAATTAGAATCCAATCCGATAATAATAATGAAACTTAATATTAAATCTACATCAAATAAAGACGCCTGCAGTTTATATATTGTGAAAAAAATTATTTGAATAATACTTATTAGAATATACCCAAGAAATAAATATGTACAAATTTTAAAACGCAATAATAATAATAGCCACTTAAGAGAATTAGTATTGAATTATCTGCATGTATACCTGGGCCTAGTCACATACACCATTTAATTATCTAATACACAAATACCCTAAGATAATCATACAACTGTCGTAAACCCCTCACTTCACACGGAACACCGTCATGTCTATGTTCAAATCTATATAGCACACACCTACTTTTTATTGTAATTCATTGTTTAATTGTTCTAATAACCTCATGAAAATCCCGTTATCAAAAAATATTTGTTTAACTATAGTTAATGTTTTACAAGTTGAATAAAATGATGAATTAAATCCGTTTTTTTAATTATTAAAACTTTAAAATTTAATTTGCAATATGTGTGTTTTAATTATCTCAATACAAATTTTGTAGAAAAGTTTACAAATATTGATCTTGGACCAAAAAAAAGTTAATAAAATAATAATAATAATTTAAACATGATAAATATTAATACGAAATTTAGTAGATATTTTTCATCTATGTTTACTATAAATCCAAAACCTAAAAAAATGTTTTTACAAAAACGTTTTCATTATTAAAATATTTATAAATAGGATATACAACTAAAAGTATAACAGCAAAGTACATAGATTTGGGAATTTTACTACTAAAACATTCTCAAATCGATTTTTCAAACAAAAAAGTTGTTATTGAATATTATTACAACTTAATATTATTTGCCATGTCAACCTAACGGTTACGACAATCATCTCTATCACTTATCAGTTATTGACTTTAAGTGATCCATCCATTTTTTAAATTCAATTTTGTTTTTTTTTTAAATATTTTTTAAATTTGTTTATTACATTTTCAAAATTATAAAATAACCAAATACTTTTTTGTATATGTTATGGAGCTAATTTTGAAACTTAAATGGTTACATACATATATATTTTATTAATTTAATAAAATATACCTAATATTATTATATATTATAATATAAATAATAATATAAACCTTTTCTCTTTATTGACAGTCTGTATAAGATAGAAATATCACCGAGAAATTACTGGGATGAAAACTTTGGAATCCGTAGCAAGGAATAACAAAGTAAACTAGAACACTGTGGAATATTAGGTAACAAAAAACGAATTTCCTGGTAAAAAAAAAGAGACTGAAACGCATTACATAGGTACTACCAAAGAACTGGAGCAGGAAGAATAAAGAAAAATATATAGGTACCTAGTGATACCTAGACAATCAAAGATGTGCATTAAGCATCCAGTAAATTACCCAAGAATTTAAAAAATATGAACAGGAACCAAATTAGTTCATTGGGATTGGACTATTAATAGGCCAAGGACATTCACACAAACATCTACCTACTTGTGGGATTACAGAATACCAATATGTAGGAAATGTGGAAAAAGAGGAGGAAACTCACACCATATCTTGTGTGATTATGGCTTTCTAACAACCAAAAAGCAAATATTTTTCACAAAACTTTTTTGAGAAACAATGAAATCAAATATACTGGAATAAAAGAGATACTGAAATTTACAAGAAGCACATGATTATTCAACACATGGAGCTATTAGACTTAGTAGGACAAGATAAGACTATATGAGATAGAAGAACTTCGGTGAGAGTATGCTTGATCAACCAAATGATCTGAAAGCGTAGGCACATCAGCAGGCCCCCTCCCTTTTAACAAACTTATACTAAAACTTAACTTTTTAAAATAATGAATTAAAATAAATATTGATTTACGCTATGCATTTAAAATTTGAAAAATGCCCTATTGCTTTTAATTTTGCAACACATAATCTTGTTTTTATCATTGCTACGACAATTGCCATGTTAATTTTCCCACTAAAACACGTTATCAGTATATAATTTTTTTAAATAATGTAATGTATTAATTTATAGTAAGCAAATTAAAAGCGAATATCAATTGCATAACGCATAGATGTTATAAATGTACTTTTTTTATTATTAGTATTATGTATTGCCGTAGCAGAGCTGTTATTTGATACTTCAAAATAGCATATCAATAGATACAGATATAATAACTAGGATATTACCTGCATAGAGATATAGATACTTTACATTAATAAGATACATAATGTTTTAATTACCATTCCCTACACATTATAAAAAGTTTGTAAATCACAATTTTTAAACGTTATTTACAGTTGCTGTAGTTAACAATTATTTATATCACATCAACGTAAAACTGTAACGTAAATCTGTATACAATTTTTTTTTTTTTTTAAATATACCTAAACAGGGTTACTAATTATACTGTTTTTATTTTAGAAAGAAATGTGTTGTAAATTGCATAAGCTTGGATAAAACTCTAGTTTTATACTTTGTTACTCGGTCAAACAAAGACTACCTTATTCGCACATTTGAGTTTAATGAATCAATATGTATTGTGTTCTTGTTTGAATACTAAAGAATAAAATAAAAAAAACAATAATTTGTATAACTCCATGACCTATTTATCCATTTTAATACCTATATTTTATTATTATTGTAAAGTGATTGTATTTGGGAAAAACTATTCAAGTATTTTGATCAATACCAAATAATTGTAACTATTTTTCCAGATTAATTTATTAGGATTTTAATTTTAACTATGTTTTTATAAATACTTTCAGTAGATTCTTTTTCAACATTTATAAATAATGTAAATTACTAAATACTTGTTCCTATCACTTCTCAACGATTTTAAATGCATACAATGTAAAGAATGATAGCTGTTTAGTATTGATTATGTTTTCTATTGTTTATCTAATTGATTATCTATTATATTTATTGAAGTGTACATCAATGCGTTAACAATTTTTTATTTATTACAAATTTTACTGCTATTATTAAGCACATGTTCAGTGTCATTAGGTCAACACTTAAATATGAACCCAATTAAAAATGCCACAGTGAATTTCAAGCAAATAATGATTTTGAATATGAGTATGATGCTTTTTAATTATTATAAAATATTTTTAATTCAAAAATTGTAAATTAGTTTTATCTCGAAGAGCGTAGTAATTGAATAATTAAAGAGAGACGCACAAAGCATATATAAATATTTTTTAACAAATATTGAAACAAGAGTGCATACTAATAAATGAAACAGTTTTAATGAATAAATAATAATGTTACCATCAAAAGGTTAATTATTTCAGTTCAGCGAGCATCATTGGTAAAAACATGTTTACGCTAACTGACTAGAACTCGCTTAATTTTGGTTTTAGAGAAAAAGCACCCAATATAAAATTATAAGAAAACAATGTTCCGGAGGATACATTGATGTCTAAACGTTACAGTCCTTTAAAAAAGGCGAAATAGTTGTTTTTTAACAATGTGTTGAGTGTAATATTTAGAATAATGGAAAAAATGCATGGCGGTGCCCTCCGGAATATTGGTCTCTTTTTAATTTTATAATAAATGCTTTTACTCTAAAATCAATAAAACTACCAAAAAAGGAGTCCTAATAACTGAACTAATAACATCACAGTATAACCTTTCAATAAAAATGTTGCAAACAATTGGCCATACCTAACTGCTGAATAAATAGGAGGTATGACATTCTCTTAATATGTATATAACTTCAAAGAATAATATGTTATCATTGACACCATAAATTGTCTTTACAGTTCCTTAAAAATTATCTAATATAAACTAAAATTCCAAAAGATTATTGTTAAATAACAATTTGTTACTTAGAAAAATACCTAACATAATAGGTTTGTTTAAAAAAAATATATGTAGCACTTATAGTGTAGTGAATTTGAGGAGGGTTTGCTGTTTAAAAAAAAAAACCGTTTTTGATGTTTTTGGCTTTTAACTGAAAATCCGATACACGACACCTCTATTTTCACAAGTGTGGAAAGTGTATACACCAAACCAACATCTTTTTAAAGCAATCAGTGTGTAAAACTCCACTTTTTAAAAACGATTACTTTAGTGTATACTCGTAAAAAAAAGTGTACACTTTTTGTAAAAAGAAACAAACTTATTATTTGTTGGATATTTATTTTCATAAAGTTTTTTTAACACAGATTATACGGTTTGGAATTTACAAAAAAAACCTAGTAAATTATCAATTAACTATGGGTTTTAATCTGTATATATTTAATGAGTATTCAACGAATACATAAATTTGCATTGCTAATGAACGATCAAATTAAATTAGCATTGTTCATTCAATAATAATACTGATAAATATAGCTTACACAATACTTAGATATTTTACTTACATTCGTAGTTTGTGTATTTAGTAATGTCTTGCATACATCTAATGGTGTGGTTATAGCAGCTGCAAGACCACCCGCAACACCACCTGATACCATGTGATATAAAGGATTGTATATTCTATCTGGATTCAAAAAGTTCTGACAGTGTTCATACGCCATGAAATGAACGACTTGAAACGGTGCGTTCATGCACAATTGCACCATATATGAGCGGTAAAATGCTCCGATTCCTTCCGTTCTCCAAACTGAGCTTACACAATTCAGAATACCATTATATGGTGAATTAGACATCTGCAATCGTTGTTTTACAACTAAAAAAAAAATTTTAAATCAAACTGTATAATACTTAATGATAGTACTACATTTTTAACTACCATCAGTTGGTGTCATGATTGCATCATGTATAATAGTTGATACACATCCAGCAATACCAGAACATACGGTCATATTTAATGAAGTTCGATGTGAAATTTTTTGTTTTAGGTGTTCGTAGGAGGCAAAGTAAAGTGCATGAGCAGGTCCAGCACCAACTATTACAGTGCCCATACCACGCATTGGTCTTAAATACCCTTCTTGTTTTATCATATCAATCAGGATAGTACCGATTCCTTGACTACCAATATTTCTGGCCGGCATAAATGCTTGCATCCGAGTCTGAAATACATAAAATACTATTCTAAGTCCATTTGATTAAAATTATCTTTATGGGTCAATAGAGTCAATTAATATTACAACAATTTTTATAAGTATAAGTCATGGTTAATAAATTGGTTATAAGTTGTTCATTATTGTTATCTAAATTTTAAATAATGTATTGTATATATATATTTTGTTACAAAGGTAGGAAATTTAAACACTTTTGAGTAATTTATAAAATATTTAACTATTATTTCTTATATTTAGATTAGTATGATCTATGGAAAACTGATTAGAATGAATATTTGTTACCTATTATGATCAAGCATAATTTAGGTAATAAATAAACTCATGTTAGACGATTAAGTTTTAAATAACCCACGTAAATAGGTATACTGATAGATACTATTTTGAATGTATATTAAAGAGCTAGTGGAAATTAAAATATATTCAGATAAGAAAAATAAAGGTACAAGGATTTACAAAAAATTAAGGTTTTCTTGGATTACTTAAATGAATATGGTAAGAAAAATGTTCAGTCAAGTATTATTTTCAAAAGAAATACTTGAAGCATTTATTAAAGTAGTGCAGGAAGCTATACAAATTTAAAATTTCTATCATACATACATATGATATAAACTGAAATGTGCAATTTACCTTCACAGAATCTAGAGGGTACATAACACAATGTTCCATGACTCCAGCAATGGCACCAGCCATCATGTGATCTGTCACGTTGGACGTTGGTAAAGTCTCATAATCATCAAAACTCATAATAAATTAAATATGTACAAAAATTATTATGAATATTTATTCTAAAAGAAAGGTGAACTGTTTTAAAACCCTAAAAAAGTGAAAGTGTAGTCAATTGAAGACTGCTCCTGTTGAGTGTTGTCAGTTGCCCCGAGGAAGGTTTTACATGCCATAGATATGATGTTGGCAATGCACTTTTACCATTGATTACGATGGGTTCTCAAAATGGAGGTTACCGGTTCGAATGGTGCGCGTTATGTTGCCTACAAAAATACATTTCAAGGGGTTTAATGATTAGGTAGTTTGAAAAATAGTTAAGTAGAAAATAAAATAATTGTTTTGCTGCATGCAAGGTTTTTATTTTATAAAATATACATAAATATTAATTAGTTATAACTGTCAGGTGACTTGTAAGATAACTTAAAATTAATACTGAAAACAATATTAATGAATTACGAAACAACCTATCAAAACAAAATTTATTATGAATAAGTATTATAAAAAATGGTATACCTTTTTATTAAATACTATTTTACTTATTGAATGAACCATGTGCGATCGTCTTTACTGTTGTATTAAATTGTGAATTAATTATGTATTAGTCCGAAGTTTAGTTCCTTATTCAATAGTTTTAAAATGTACAATCGATAAGAAAAAAACATATACAGGAAAGAAAATAAGTTTATCAACTTTCATAATGTTCGTAGTGCGTACCCGACTTTTATTTCAATGTTTAATATCAACGGTCAACAATATTTAATAAAGTATGTCTGGAAGGACGAGGACGGAGGAACCGACAAAGACTGATTAGAGAATTGAAGATGTGCCGGCTAAGAATCAACACTGATAAGAAGTCGTGAATTGTGAGTATCTATAGATACAGCACAGAGACTGGAAAACACCGGTTACGGTCCAACTAATGATATCTTTAATTTATCAAAACACTCATTACCTTCTGTAGTTTAATTAATTAATTATCATCGGTCGTCGAAAAGTTTTCAAATGGTTTTATTTTATCTATAACTACCGCACAAATAACTCAATATAATTTTACAAGAGTATAATAAATAAATAAAACATATATTATTAACGATAATAATTATTAAAATAATTAGTACAAAACATACGCACGCGGATCTTTGACCGTACACAGTACGGAATTCCACGCTTACGACCAACCAGACGGCAGACGGCACACCGATGACCGACGCCGACTTAACTAACGAGTAACGACCGACGGGCGATGATTTAACAACGTCCTTTGGCCTTAGGTTCGTACTAGGCTTTAAATGCTAGAAAACAGATTACAGATTACAGAATCCACACACTGTGTAATTATTGTTTTTTAGGTTATGATCACACGGTAATTAACAGCTGATTGATAAGGCCGCTTGACGGCAGTGTCTACCAAAATGTATGGAAACCGGGCAAATGATAAGAAAAGTGATAAAAGATAACTTATAAATTATATTATCACTATTTATTATTTAAGTTTTATTAAACCTCAGAATTTGGATCCGTGAAGACTAGAAGACTAGTTTTAGTATTGTTTAGATCATTTATTTTATTGAATGACAAGTGCGATAAGATCGATATTGATTAGTGCCTAGTGGACCAGGAATTTACTAAGTGTAAAATATAGTAAATACTTTTACTGATTGTTCATTTAATTAAAAATATCATAATATTTTTTCAACAAATCATTTTAATTCATGTAAATACAGATAGAGTTTATATATATTATATAGAGGTATGTTTTATAATAGTGTACTAATAGTATATCATAATACTATTTACAGCTTGGTATGCAGTACTTAAAAATATATTTATTATAATCTTTATATAAATAATACCATAATAAGTACTTTTATTATTAATTAATTTTAGATTAATTCTTATAAATTTGGTGAAAAATTGTTGATATGTCCTATGCTAAAGTAATAATCTTAATTACCTTATTAACCTCCAGCAGCCATCTTAAAAATCTGTTGGTGGTTGACATGCAGTGTTTACTTCACCATTTAATTTGTAGCTCAAACATTGGAGAGTGTTTCAGACAATATTAATTTTATATGACTAAAACCATTTTCTTTAAATTGTACTGTATGTTATACCTTTTACAATTTACTATACTGTTTCTCAGTATAGTACAAATTATGTGTTGGCGATCGGAACAATAAATATTTATGATCTAGTGTGCTATGGTGAGATGAATTCATTGACTAATAAATTTAATTTTAAAATTGGGTATACTCTGATTAGAAGAGTTCAAAATTAATCGTGTCTCAGAATAGGTAAAATAGTTATAAGAAAAACTTGTTGACCTTGTTGCTAATGAACATCATTGTTGTAGTTTCTCTATGTTTTGGAAACTTGGATTATGTATGGCTGGGTACTACTGGGGACATCCGTCCCAACATAACGCTGGACAACATGCAGCCATTATTGGCTGTACCACTAGTTATTATAGATTAATTCATAACAAGTTTTCATTCACAATGTTTTGTAAAAAATATATATCATATTATTTCATTGTTGTTGAATTCTTGATATGTATGTAGCCATAATTTTATTGATACTTTGGGAAAAAAATGTACAAAATAAGTAATTTTAGGTGTGGTTACGGCTTAAAATATTTAAATTTATTACCCAAAATAGTAAATATTATTATGTCAAATATATATTAACTATATCTTCTTATTTACTGTACCTACCCAATACAAATGAAACCTCCCAGCCAAATTCTCTCTTTCCATCACTATTTCTTTCATTATTTACTCCATACATTTTTAGGACTATTTTTAACAACCTCTCTTTTCTTCAGTCTATCTCTACCTCTAAGTAACTCAATATAATCTCTCTTATACGTTAAACTATTTTATTTTCCTAGCTTTCTTTCAGCATGCCTAAATTTTGCTCTTACTCAACATCTAATTTGTTTTGAATTTATATGACAGTCAAAATTTACAACATCTGATACTAGGATATGGATTTTAAAAAAGTTACTATATTATGTAATTTATTGTTAATTGTTAATTTACTTTGTTAACTAGATCATTTTTCAATGTAGTAACTGTCATTCAAATCTTTGTTAATTATTGTTTTAATCAACTCAATATATATTATAGTTATACACTACTCTATTATAAGATATGAGTCATTCTAGTGACTGTAGATGATGTGATGTCCCTGTTCTTGATGACCTTTTTTAATGTGTAATGTTCCGTATAAACACTTGACGTAGAATCTATTCAGCATTTGACGTTTCACAGGGATTTTTTGTAGAGACTATTTAACATTTACAAATTACATTTGGAACAGTTATACTAAGAACCTAGTATTCCAAACAGCTGTTTTATAGCAGTTTTAAGAACTTCAATTTGATGTTTAAATATTTGAAGTTGATCCATATACCGTATACGTATATAAGTATAACCCATACTTTAAAATATTATTATTCTGATACATATGAAGAGACTTATTCAAGCCTAAAATAGTGACTGTGGCCTAATACAGCCTCTCTGTTTATTTTTTTTTCAATCAAAACTGATCAAAACAATCCATAATAAATATTATTCATCAAATATCAATATGTTGTAATTATAAATTATTATATGATTATTTGAATTAGAATTTAGAATTTCAAAATGAATAATATGTAAATAGAAATAAAGTGTATATGATTAATATAGATATAGTTTTTGATGAAATAAAAAAAACAATTTTGGTTAGTCGATTTCACTTAATATTCATTTTATTAGTATTGTTAGAATACTATTATGTATCCTAACTTTCAGAAATTTCTTCTTGCTGATCATTTAAAACGTTTTCAAATATTCCAGTGTTATCGATGAAATTTAAAGAGTTATTAATGGTGTTTTTCATGTAATAATAATTGACGTTGTGAAAGTTTTGAGCCAGTCTAGTCGTCATTTGTGTACTGTAGTCATTTTTTTGGGCACGGGCTCTTTCCACGTCCAAAAGCTCCTTCGAATAAATATAATTTATATATCTTTTATAATCATGTTAATTTACTCGAATTATTATCGTACCTGATCAGTATACACGCTCGTTAATATGTCCGATTTCATCCATTGTGATTGTAAGACTTCTGCCGCTGTTATCCTTTTTTCCGGTTTCGGCTCTAAAATTCGATTTAAGAGATCTGCCAATTTTGGACTCGGTTCAACCTCTGATCGAAAAGACCAATTTTTCTGCATTTGTAAAGCTATCAACTCTTCGCGTTTATTGGCATTAAAAGGTTTCACGTTGTTTATCATTGCAAACAGCACCACTCCCAATGACCAGATGTCAGCAAGTTTCGCATCGTAAGGCTTGCCTAGTAGTTAAAATAGTACATTTAGTTACAGACCATTGACATGTTATATTTGAATTTTACTTTGTAGCATAACGTGTATAACATTTTATTTTATGACAGAAGAATTACTATAGTAGTATTAGACTAATATAGTGTCTTAATGCGTTACGAACCTCTCAATATTTCGGGGGCACAATAGTGTATTGAACCGCAATATGTTCGGCTTCGGTAATCGTCACCTGGTATTATCCGACTAAACCCGAAGTCGGTCAACTTCACATTTAGTTTTGCCGTCACTAATATATTTTCACATTTGATGTCTCTATATATCATTAAGACAGACATAAATCAATAAATCTGCCTTGTTGCGGAACTGAAATGATATTAGTTTTAAAAGTACATATTTTGTATATTATGTATAAATATATGTGGGACTAGATCCTTATGTATAATTTAATAACTCAAAACGTTTATTGATACAAATATTACAACAGACACCAACTAATATTACAACACATCAAACACACGTCAACCGTCGCGGCATCACGATACACACTAACGGGTACAGGTCTTTTCATCGCACGACACTGTCTCTTATGGTTCCTATATATTTCCTACTCGAAGTAGCATCCGCCTCGGATACTAATACTTCTTCTTCATCACTGTCGTTGTTAAGGCACCAAGGCTTCATGAAATCAGTTCCAGTTAATGTTTTGATGGGTCCCTCGCTGTCTTCTATCTTTATTGCCTCAAAACGGTTTGGTCCTCGTCAACATGTTATGCGATAGGGTCCTAGGTACTTCGCAGCCAGTGTTAGCAGAATTAGCGTTCGCTTAATCGCCACTAAATCACCTATACGGTGCACCACAAAGTCTTTCCGATGTTTGTTAAACGACTTCCGCTGCTCAGCCTGGGCCTTAGCAATTTTTTTTTTTTGCTACATTTCTATCTTCCTTCCGTTGACATTCGTACCATTCTACATACTCCTTTTCAATAGCTTTTTTTTTAAACTAACTCGGCGTTTCTCAACTCGACTCCAAAAGTCAATCTGAACGGTGTCATCCCTATGGACCGTTTAACTGATCCATTCAAAGCCATCAACACCTTACCAACTCGACGATACCATTAACTTGGCTGGTCAATGCACAGTTTCGCTATACATTTGCAATAACTGCGTTGAGACGTTTAACCTGACCTTTGCTACGGAGCATACCTGTAGTTATCAATATGTGCCGGATATTATGATCTATACAGTATTTTTCAAAGTCATTAGACGTGAAGGCCACCCCCTGATCAGACACTAAACGTTCAGGGTTACCAAACTTCACCTCTAACATCGACAAGCGATCAATTATTTCAGCCATCGTAATGTTCTTAGTGGAGAATAACCAACAGAACTTGGTGAACCCATTGGCTCCATTGGTCTTAAGAAGTCAACGTACCAACTCATCAGCGGATCGTCTCCTTTATCAATGGCGAATGGAGGTAACCGTCCTGCTTGCCTTGCCTTTCTGTTAGGTAAAATACACGGAACACAGTTTTGAATAATAGACTCAATTTTTGTCTTCAACCCGGCAATTGAATAATCACGGCATATCAAAGCTTCAGTTTTCGACACTCCGAAATGACCAATTTTGTGTGGGTCGCGGATCGCCCCATCTTCTTAGGGATTACTAATAAGTCACGATCATCGCGCATTTCATAGAGGATATCACCCCTTACTATGTAATTTCTGGTATTTGACTCAGCCATAATAGTCCGAATGTCTGGGTCATCTCCCTGCATAACCATTAACCGTCCCAGGAACTTGCTTTGAATGGTGATACAAGCTGGATACCGACTCAAAGAATCTACATGGAGCATCCTCGAGCCGGACATATACTCAGTGGTATAATCATACTCTGAAACCAGCAATACCCACCTGGCTACTCTGGTCCTTCTTTTCCAAAGTGTAAAGTAAACGCAGCACAATCAGTCGCTATTTTGATATATAGGCCCAACAAATATACTATGGACTTCTACAGTGGCCAACACTTTCAACTCATAGCTATGAAACTTGCGTTGTGCTTCTGTGGTTTTCCGGCTCGAGTAACATACCGGTTGTTAGTGTAATTGTCCGTCATTACTATCCATTTAACTAGGTAAATTTGGCTTTCGGGTTATATTTTTTCAACAAAGGTGCTTCTGTAAGGTGACGCTTCAATTCACCATTAAAAATTGGACCTTGCCAAGTTAAGGGTACACTTTAGTTCATTTAAGTGAAATTATACAATTTATAGTATTTAGTATTATATTATTATACATAATAAATTCATTGGTTAAAAAGTTATCGTTGATCCAAAAGTCGAAAAGAAAAACCTATTGTATTGTTTACAACTAATACCTTTTTATTTCGAGATAAGTTTATCACTAATATATAATTATTTTTACATACTTCTAAAAAAATAGAGAATACTTTTTTTAATTAAAACTTGTGAGTTCTTTATATATTTGTATTCATATTATTTATAACAAACTCAGTCTTGTGGATACTTTGTAACGACTTAGTAAATATAGTTTTGCTACTAGATAGCGACACTTTATATGTAATGGTCTGGAATCATGGAAGTATTGAGTATGATAAGTATTTTAAAATAATATTTTCTAAAGATTAAAAAGTATCTCATTTTTAATCACTTTTTAAAATGTAATATGACCTCCTAATGTCCTATCGAATTATCAGTTTGTAATAATGTACTTTTAAGTATGATCTCTGTTAAAACAGTATTATGTACATTATACCTACATATATATTTGTGCATTATGTAGTCTCCTGTGTTTACTAGGGTAATTGTAAGCAAGTAAGAAAAATGTAAATATAAATTGTGTTAAAGAAAACTAAAAACTTTTATTACCTAAATAAAAATATTAAGATAATATATATGATGCAAAAGTGTTCTCTTAAAAGGCATTTTGTAAAATTGAGTTAGTGCTATTATCTAAATTTTGATTGATTTTTTAACAACTTGAGACCTGGCACCTCTTTGTAGCTAATAAAAGTTATTGGATTTTGAAGTTTAGGACTTTGTAGTCAGCAGAGAGGGTCCCTTTTCCGAGATCGATTTATACTAATTTCGGTTATCATTCGATTCGATGATTTGATATAAATCCTAACTCTCGGGACTCCAAAGTACAATTGTTAATACCTAAGAAATAGATACTTCCGACCTCAATCAATGTTTTTATAGTACTCAATTTCGCCGACAAGAGGTCCTTTTCTGCTTTCTGCATCACAAATCTAATTTAGAATGGACATTTTTAATTTTTGAAAGCAGTTTTCGGATTTAAAATTTAAAATATATTAAAAATTTAGTCACAATTTTAAAAATAGATAAGAACTACTATACACCACTTGAACGGTGAACCTAACTATTATGTTAGCATTGATATATTTTTTTATCGATTTGTTATATGTTTCTTAGTCGAACAATATTTGTATTATATCATTGCATTGAAATGCTACATAATATGTTACCTTCAAATGTATTTTTCTCGTAAATTATGTTGAACTAAAAATGGCAAAGAAGACAGAAGTTGAGAATTTATTTCTTTTAGCTCCAATCAAAAATTGTATTTATTTTTTTTAAAAATCTAATAACTATCTCAAAAGTTAAAGATTAATCTACACAGCTATTGGAAGTTTTATAACAGTGACAATTTTCCTGCTTCCTTTAATATATGTTATTTATAAATAATTTAGCAGTATTTATTTCAAGAAAGTATACTCGAGAAAAATTAATAGGAATTATAAATAAATTATTTTACAGTATTTTTTTTTTAAGCTATCACAAAAAACATTTTAAAGTACCTGTGTACCATGTTAAGTTCGTGAAGATAATGAACTGCAGTGGTTAATTGTTTGGTCCAAACACGAGCTTGTAATTCGTTCAGTGTTTTGCCATCAAGGAATTCCAAGACATTTCCGTGTTCAGCATACCTTTTAAAAAACATACAAATGGCGAACGTCACCAATCAATAAAAATTAAAAAAACTTAAAACCCTTATCAAAATCCGTCCAGCCGTTCTATCGAGATTGGTGTTTTTTACAGTACGTATGTTTATGTACTATGTTTATAATCAGTTTACGTTAAGCACGTCTTCAGCTATGTTACAAATATATTAAAATATGACAAAAAGTATAATTTATCTCTCGTCTAATATTTTATTATTTAAAAGGTAGCATATTGACCGATTTCACGACAAAGGAGGATGTTTAGAACCTAAAATCCAATTCGGATACGTCACTGCTTAGATAGAATTTATAATAAGATTACGGATTATTGAATGTACATGGGTCATTCTGAGTCACTCATGCGGTCATCAGCCCGACCTCCTCAAAATTGTTTAAAATTTTTATCACTCATATATACCTCTGAAATAGAGGTTTTAATTTTTGTTTTTGACATTTTTATGTCTTAGCTCTGGCACATAACCGAAAAAAGCGTTACCAAAAGAGCGTAACGAAAAAAGCGAAAGGGTTGGGGACGGGAGTGGAATAGGGGGTAGGAGATAAGGGTGAGATTTAGCCGGTAAATAACCGAAAAAAGTGTTACCACCACACGGAGATGGGTTGGAGGTGGAAATAGGGGTAGGATATAAGGGGTGGGGGTGGGATAGGGTTGGGGTTGGGGACAGGAGATAGGGGTGGGAGATAAAGGTGAGAGATTAGGGAGTAGGGATAGAGTGGGAGATAGGGGTGAGTGATAGGGACGGGAGATAGTGGGTAGGGGAGAGGGGTAAGATATAGTAGATAAGAGATATGTTGTACGTTCAACGTTCAAATTAGAACTAAATAATAAATTCAAAATAGTTTAATTCTCTATGTTAGGTTACTTTTGGCCAGATAATAAACACTACAATTTTAGCCAGAAACTTGATTGTACATAATTTTTTAATCTCCTTGGCCTTATGCTGTAACTGGAAGCTCCATATAATTTTTTTTTTTTTAATTATAATTCCACACCTAATCTAAATTTATTCGGTACTTCAACGAGACATGAAAATGCTCTTTCGTGGTTGCAGACTCGGCTGAAAAACTTTCTTTTTAAATATCGATTTTGACCAGTTTTATAATTCTTATCATAAAATCAGAGACTCAAATCATATCCTTTCGTCTAACAACGGGAATGGGCCGAGATTTATTTCTATTTTTTTTTTTTTAGTATTACAAATTTATAATTTTAATTTTGACATTCTCATGTCTAGGCTCTAGCACGTAACCGAAAAAAGTGTTACCAAAAAAACGTTACGCTGTTATCTGTTAAGGGAATGGGGATGGGGGTGGGAATGGGGTTGGGCATGTCTTAGCTCTGGCACGTAACCGAAAAAAGTGTTACCCAAAAAAGCGTTACGCTGTTATTTTAAATTATGTGTTGTATTCACAACGATCAAATTATAACTGAAAATAAATTCAATAATTTAACAAGTCATATTCCCTATGAATTGTTTTAGGCCAGATATTATGAAAACACTAAAATATTAGCCAGAAACTTGATATGTTTACTAGCCACTTTAGATACTAGCTGGTTACTGCTTGTTAATATACTATTTCATTATCAATAATTCCACCGCTACTCTAAATTTATTCGGTACATCAAAGAAACATGAAAATGTTCTTTCGTGGTTGCAGACTCGGCTGAAAAATGTAAAATTTGATATTTTGCATATTTTGGGAGTAAAAAGTGAAAAATGTGCCTTACGAATAAAATAAAAAATTAAATTATACTAATATACATAATTATTGAATCTCTGATTTTATGATGAAAATTTCAGAATTTTAAAACTGGTCGAAATCGACATTTTTTATAAAACTTAAAAAACCTCTATTTTAGGGTAAATCAGAGTGATAAAAATTTCAAAAAAATTAAGGTCGTATATTAGACCAAACGAAGTTTAATGACCGCATGATTTGACTTAGAATGCTCCATAAATATAAGTTCTTATTTAAATTTAATATTTCAAAATTGATATATCGTAAAATTGTTAATTTTTAAATTCCATTTCGTCACTTACCTCATATTTATGAATAAACATTTTTTGTACTGGACAATGCCGTATACGCGAATAATGTTAATATGCCTAATTTTTGTCATGATATCGATTTCCCTTGGCAAAAATGTTTTGACGTATTCTTCGGTTTTCCATCCGGCTAAAGAAATCACCTTGCAGGCGACCGGAACTATTTTGTTTTGACTCGTTTTGATTTCAGACAAGTAAACTGATGAAAATGCGCCCTCTCCAATTTTTCGGACTATCGACTGGTAATTTTCTCCAACAAATCTGTTTAATGACGATGACTCGGGCTTTAACTGCGTATTCTTAAGTTTTGTTATCGAATGATTATTAATCATTTTTACACCGTTTTTAGTTATACTAATATGTGATGAATTATAATACTAATATTAAGGTTGCAGTCATAACATAAATTAGGATATATTTGATTGTTTATTATTTTGCCATAGTTATTTGTTGTAAGGAATGCATATTTTTTGTTTTGAGGCATGTATTAATAATTAGTATTATTTAATAGTTAAGACATTTATTAAAACTTTACTTAAAAGTAATTATACTATTAAATAATTAATTTAGCTAAAAACGCTGTTAGTAAAATCTTTATTGTAGGTACTATATTATCAAAATGATTATTTGATGCGCAAGTTAAAAACATATTTAAGTGGATGCTTCACATCCGTAATTTTAGAAGGACAACTAATTCTTTCATAAACCGTCCTCTCTTTTTTGTTATACCTAGTCGTCAGTTTTCGTTGATATCTATCCTGATATTTCCTGATTTTTTTGTTGTTAAATTGTTTAAATATCATATTATTTCTGTTTTTAGAACTTTAATAAAAACTTATTTAAGTAAGGTATATTGTTGGATCTAATATAATTATGATAATAATACATTTAGGGTTGGAAAACTAAATAAATAGTGAGGCCAACTTAATGTACAATTGTTTTAAGCTTTAATAAAACATTTAGTTAAAACTATTAATGATTTAACTCATCATTTTTGGATCTATTTATATTTGCTTTTTCAAACCCATTGCAGGGTCCATTTTCAGCGAGACTGTCACCGTTAAGCTATCGTGACTATGCTAAGTGCATCGGTTACACAGTTAACGGTATTTATATTCACGTAGTTGTAACTGTGATTTTCGACCAAGTTGTAACTGTATTTTTCCGGCCTAGTGATGTCGTAATGGGTTTTATAGTTTTCTTTATTATCCCCGTTTCACTGTTTATGAATGTTGTACTCTTTTGGCGTTTGTTGCATTTTACTTTTCCTATTCTACACAATTTTCATTTATTTCGCAAGCTTTTGTGGCTATTGTTTGTAGTGAACCTTTTTTTTTATGTTGGACAATGGTGTGTTCTACTTGTGATTACCTATTAATGTACGTCTTCTTCCTGTATTTATCCTGTATGATGTATCTACTCCTAATCCTACTCCTCAAAATATCCTACTGGGTTCTTCTGGACTTGCTCACCAGATTCAAAAACAAATCAAATCAATTGATCAATGCCAATCAAAAGAAACATCTGTTGACGAAATAAATGAAAATCTTATATGTAGAAAGGCTAGTGTAAAATGCCAAAAGAGCACAACAGCTATAAACAGTGAAAATAAGAAAATAAAGAAAACCACATTACCCATTACCACACCACTTGATCGAGAAAACACGGTCGCAATTTTGTAAAAAAAACATGGTTGCAACTACGAACATATAAATAGGTAAACAAGCGATACACTCGCAGTACAGTAGCGACAGTGAAACGGTGACTTTCCTCTTCATCGTCGTTAGCGCTGAAGGTTACAACATTGTTGCCGAAATAAGCAGTGTATTATTTTATATTCAAGGGTTTTAAAAATTAATTTTTTTATCATATTTGTATTACTCTTCGAAAAAAGTAGTCAAGTGCTTTTAGTACATTCAATAATATTCCTTTATCTTAAAAGTATATTTATGATTAAGCTGAATAAACAGAATGCTGATTATTTCAAACATTTTATGAATCTTTGGCAACTGGCATCATAAGGATTAAGTATACGTATGAATACCATTAAAAAAGAATTTCTTCTTGACAAATGAGTAATTTGTCATGACTCATGAATAATTTTTTTGAAGTTACATAATTTCAAACTTAATAGTGTGAAATAATTAAATGAGGTGGAATAGGAATTACATGTTTATGAGTACTAAACTACAATTTTCAATTTTGACTAAAAATAATTTATCAAAAGTTTTACTACAAGTGTATTTGTTTGATTCCTAACTAAAATGTTGTCCATAACATATTTATAATTTAGACTTAATTTAAAAATATATTTTGAAACACTGTTTCTGATCTAAAATGTTGAACTACTAAAATACTAAAATAAATATTCTTATAGTATACATTGATGCGCTATATATTTTAAATATGTTAGTAAATTATACAAACATGACGTGATGACTATGGTGACCAGACGTCTTTTTTTTATAGGACAGTACGCTTTTTTTTATTGCTCTATTCTAGTTTTTGTTTATATTAATGGTGATGGCCGATGGACAACGTGTGGTTTTTAATAATAGAGGAAGTTCAAAAACTGAACACAACAGTTTTAAAATTGTTATATCTAATTACTAGGTAGTAATGAATGATGGCTAATTTGTTTTTATCGTGTCCTATACCTATAGTATTATGAGGTTCTTAGGTATAGTCTTAGACATTTGTTTTACTAGATTGAAATAAATATTTATTAAGGCAGCTGATCATGACTAGACTGGGCAAAATAGATAATCTAAAGACAAATAACCTAAGTATGCAGTAGAAATTTGATTTTTAAAATTTTAAAAATAATATTGTTTTTTCATCAGTTAATAAATAAGTATTTTTGGAATCGTGTAGTATCTAAAAATACAAACGAATAACAACTAGTAAAATTACTAATTATGCCTACTTAAAAAATACTTTATTTTTAAGAACATTTTAAATAATCTTTTAATATTAAAAGGTGGTAAATTCCACTTGATATGTTTTGTGGTAATTACGTTTTCTTCCGTGAATTCTCTTTGAACCCTGAATAAAGGCATAAAATATGTAATATAATTTTGTTGTTTTTACATTTAAGAAATACATTTTCAATCTAAATTCTTGTGAGCGATTTTTTTCCTTTTTTCCTCTGGGTATTCGTGATGTAAAAATATATAGCAAGTTGTATTTGCAAGGTTCAGGGTCTAAAAATCGAGGACGGCAAAACAAAAAAGAACGAATAATAAATAAGAAAGTGGAGCCTGCAGGGAAATGATGGCCGAAGCAATTAAAACTCTTAAAAAGAAAATCGACCCCTTCGCTTAGGGCTACTCTCGCCAGTTTTTAATCACGCAGCAGTCTTCTTTATTTCGTTCGTTTGTTCGCCTTGTCGCTCTCTCTCTACCACGCACTCTCTCTCTCTACGCCATTCCTTCGTTTTTTCGAATATTTTTTTATTATTATTATTAAAATAAAGCAAATAATGAGAGAGAAAGAAGAAATTATAAGAAAAAACTTCTCTCGCTGGTCCAATTCTCCAACACAACGAGCATAATAATAATAACAATAATAATAATAATAATAATAAGAGTACTGAAAACGAGAATTGAACAAAAAAGTAATTTATAAATTTATAGTATATTCCAAAAGTACACCGTACTTATTTTGCTTTCTTATTGACAATGAAAAATAAAAACATTAATAATTGTGCTGTTTTAATTAATATATATTTCTTATTTGCTATAAAAAAAAACATAAATTGTTCGATTTATCAATACTTTTTCATTAGTCTGGAAGCGTTGTTGAACATTGTTGGTTAAATATCTGAAACAAAATATATTAAATTCACGTTTAATATCAACATCATAAGTCATAACAAAAAAGCAGCCAGAACATTTACATATTATTATAATACGCTAGTGATTTCAGAAAACGAGTATCATGTACAATATGTATTATATTATACTCTTTAGCATCACGCGGTAATGAATTTCTAATATTTACCAGCATAATAATTGTTCACTCGTTTAGCTATAAGCAAATCAGCTAAGGAATAGTCGGTAGATACATTGGTATATGGTATGCTCAAATCTTAATCTAACATTTATAATTTGTAATGTATTTTTTGACATTTTTAAACTATATAATTAAACGAGTAAAACATGTTTTGCCCAATAGCATTCGAAGTTGAACATTGTTTTGTATGTATAATTTATTAGAAATGCTTTGAAACTCTCAGTAGTCTGTTTAATGTGCTAAGGTTACCCCGGCAACGAAAACAATAGTATATTAATAAGTAAAATGGGTTTGACTTAATGCTTATTTTATTTATTCATTTGTTTTTTCAATTGTTTACACCGAGATAGAGTAGGGTATAAAAAGATTGTTTTTACAGAAGATAAAAAGTACAATAACGCCCAGAAACGGCGACTGTTACTGAAAAAGATAACTAAGATAAACAGAAAATCAGAAGAAACGAAGAAAATAAAGTGAAGGAACATTAATTTAGAATGCGAAAATTGTACGATAAACAACAAATTTAACAGTTTTTTTTTGTATCTTCAAAGGTTCAGACTTTACTGTAGCACATTTTAGCTTTTATAATAGTTAATAAAACATTTTTATTGGACAGCTAAAGAATACCCAATTTATATTATTCGAAGTTGTAATTTTAAACAAATATTTTTTAGGATACTAGTAAAAATCAATGATGCTATTTTATAATAAGAGTAATAATAAAAACCAGACTACTATAATACCTGCATTAATCAGACATATATAATAATTTTTATAGTAGCTTATTTCTATTTATAGTTATTAGAAAGAATAATCTTCAATAATAATAAAATGTTGGATATTTTATTATTTAAATTACTAGTTTTAAATAACGTTTGAGTTGAGGAAGGAGAAAGGGAACAAATATATTTTACCCTTTTTGTTTAAGCGTGATTTGTTATGATTAAGTAGCTGATTTCTAAAATTTGCATTTAACTGTAATTGTTCATTATTTCGGTTTTCTAATTTTCGAAAACTTAGTTTGGAATTATTATGTTTTCGACACTTAATGTCGACTTTAAAAGCTTATAATTATGTATAATTAAGTGGAAATCTCATTCGGGGATCCAGTATAGGTAATTTTCAACAAGATCTTAATTTAAACCAGAACAACTGTTTATAATTATTAATAAAACAATGAGACTATTTATTGTTTATTGTTAGTTTTTAAAAACATTTATTTTATGATAGATGTTTTGTTCTCAGATCTCTCAGATCAGACCTATATTAATTTGTCTTTGGCGTTATTCTAAAAACCATCCCACCAGGATTTAGTATT